AGATGCACACTACCCAGCACTGTTATTACAGGTAGCAGAGCTGCGTACTAGTGAGTGTATAGTGGCACAGCCAGCCCACAGCCAATCATACGGAATGTGTTTATAAATTAATGTTGAGTGAACCAAGAACTTACATCTAGTATCTGGATTTGTGGCAACATGTAATTGTAATGGTTCTAAACACCGCTGCGAAAAATGAAACGATATTTTTACTAGCCAAAAAATGCATTGCGTTCATTCTGTTTTTATCTAATAGTCAACGAGATATCTTCTACTAGAGGAATGCAAGGCATTTTTGGTTAGTGAAGCTCGCTGTCCATTGGCTGGGACTGCCACATGCTCTTCTGGCAAGAGATAGAGCCAATAAGACTCACTAATGGAGAGGTCTTCCCCATGGAGGACAGTCAGCCTCAGTGTGGGTTCAAGCTGGGGCCATCCACTACTACAGAGTTTCTTCCTCTGTCAGTGTGTGGGGTTGCAGGCTTTGGAGTCCTCGTGTTGTTCACAAACACTAATAGAGATGTGGACATCACTTATTACACCTTCTTACCCACTGACACTTCTTAGACATCCTAATTCTGTTTATTTTCCTGCACAATTGTACATGCTCAGTGCAAATATATTGTGATAAGATCATTGCCTAAAACAACTAAGTACTCCCTAAGAGCTAATCCATGACATCCTCTGACGTAAAATGACTCTGCTTCTTGCCAGTATAAAAGGGATGTCCTACTCCCCATACACACGTCTGAGAGCTTCTGTCATATCGAGAAGATGGAGTTGCCAAAGTGTGCCTTGATTCTAGCAACAATAGTAGTTGCTTTTTCTATTTCCTTTGCCCAAAATGAAGGTGAGAGAAGCAAGTTTCTGAGAATTCAATGTACACTAAGAAGTGATGCCTGTGTGGTCCCATCACAGGAGGTAGTCAAGTAAGTGTCCACCAAGTGGAGGTACTGAGAGGTAGGGATGGGAGAGATGGAGTGAGAGGTCCAGCTGGACCACCAGGACCAGCTGGACCAACAGGAACCAATGGGCCACAGGGAGAGAGAGGACTGCAGGGAATGTTAGGCCCCCTGGGGGTTAGTGGAGAAAAAGGAGATCATGGGAATAAGGGAGATCGCGGGGACACTGGACTCCCTGGACCTCAGGGACCACTAGGAGCCCCAGGTCCTCTTGCCATGGGAGGAGCTGTCTATGTTCGCTGGGGGAGGACTGTTTGCCCCAGTGACCAGGGAACTGAGCTGGTGTACTCTGGGAGAGCTGGAGGGAGTAGATATGATCACCGTGGAGGGGGTGCCAACCATCTCTGTATGCCAGATGATCCTGAACACTTGCAGTATACTAGTGGAGTAAGCGGAAATAGCTACATGTATGGAGTGGAGTATCGATCACATTCTCAACCATTACAAACTGTTGAATACCACAATGTTCCATGTGTTGTGTGCCATGTCACAACACGAGCTACACTGTTGATGATTCCAGCTAAAGTCAACTGCCCCACAAACTGGACCACAGAGTACACTGGATACTTGATGACTGCAGGCTCTGGTCATCACGTCCACATATGAATGTGTGGACAAAGATCCCGAATCCGTTTGACTAAATGGTCTGATACATATCAAGCTCTCCTCTACCATGTGGGAACCCATTGGTCACTGGGTTTGTCCTGTCCACCCCATATGATAGTGAGAAGAGCTCACCTGTGTGGTGTGCTCTCCTTGAAACTTCTATCAATAATATACATACTGTGTACTTCTTTGATGATGATTATCTCAGCTGATAAACCCAAACCCTCAATTGTCATAGGAGTAGATAGTGTAGATAGCAAAGCAAAATTAACCTGCTTGTAAAACTCCTTTGTTCACATTTACGTATGTAAGTTCTTCTTACTTGTGGAGCTGAGGAAGAATGGGTTGTGGACATGACATGAAAAAACATTAATATTCCCAAGGTGGGATTAGCCTACACAAACGCTAAGCTGACTACTCACAAACTTTAAGTTGTCACTATGGCATGTGTTGTGAAAGTCATCAAGACATCGATAGTCATGAGTTCACAGAGCCATGGAACACTTACCCTACTGCATGGTGTAGTTCAACCTATGCACAATAAACATAGGTGATGAGTACTGATCACCATCCATCCAACATAGTTACATTCTTAGAAAAGTGGTATAATTGCAGAACCCATTTATTATAGAAATGCTGTCATGGATTCTCAAAGCATGTCTGAGCATTCCCTATGCTCACTAAACCATCAGATATTAACAAACGGCTGAATCCAGGGAATGGACATGGAAGTTTGTACAGTACATGTGGTCCAGTTTGCCACAATTAGCATAGGATGGTTCTTAGTAGGTCTGTCTTGGTTATGAGAATTGGACGGGAAATGTTTCTGCAGAGCTATAGCTGAGTAAAAAAAGAGAGTCAAGGTTTACTTTCTCAGAGAAGGCTGGGAAAGAGTACATGAGAGGGAGGTAGAGTAGCTACTCTCATTCAGTAATATCGAGATCAGAGTGCCAGAGTACAGTATGGTGGTGGCTGAGTGCAGGGAGACGAGATCAAGTTGCATGGAAGTTAGTACAGTTACATGTGGTCAGATACAACATCACTCATCAGTCATCTCATCTCTACAACTGCTCTCGTGCAAAGTTTAGAGACCAGGACCTCTTAAGATATGCTGCCTGACTCAGTTCTTGAGTAGTAAGTAATTGAATTTTAAAAAGTGGATGCAGCTTTCTGTTAGGTAGACACTAACACAGGGATGATGATATAGATCGTAGTAAGACGAGAGCTGGAGCAGCTTCTGATCATGGGGTCTGGCTGCGCGTGTCGCACCCTGACAGCTAAAAAAAGAGCACAAAAAGCTTTGAGGAGATAGCATGTCCGAGACATCTGTTCTTGGTGAGTCGTCAGCAGCATCGATAACCGATCTGCTGTCTACACACTGTCTCACTGCCTATCACTGATCTCACGCTCCTGTAGTTTTGTACACTGCTCCTCTACTGAACTATCACCTTGCTTTGCTTTTCTTGCATCTGATGATGTTCCAGCTCAATCTTCTCGGGACTATGACCCCAGAGATCTTCAAGGTGAACTACTCAGTGTGTTGTGGACATTTCAGATATGCACCATGGGTCAGCTCGCATACTGTGGTCATGAGGTCGATTTGCTCTTCTGCACCTGGGTGTCCATCCGGGTGTCCTCTGGGTGTGACCACGAGGGTGTGTCTGTGTGTCTTGCAATGTGTGTCGCCTCTGAAAATTCTGGACACGTTTGGACAGCCAATAGTTGCATGATCGCCGCAGCTCCAAATTTTGGCGGGCTTCTGACCGCCACCGTTGTCTAGTCGTCAAACGCAACAGCTGCTCTTGGCAGAGCTTCCTGGCGCATAATGGTACGTCAGATGGCCACTGAAGTGCAACTATATTACCTGAGAAAGGCCCATGTCACTACACTGTGGTGTGCAGTGATACTGTGGGGTAGTAAATATGGAGGCCAAAGAACACAATGTCTCATGAGGGACGTGCAGCAGATGTCGGGAACAATAGTCAAGTCGAGGTATATACTTCCCATACAGAGTTAGGCTCTCAGCTAAATTAGCAGTGTTTGTGGAGACTTAGTGGATTGGAACTGTAATCATGCCATCTCTTCTCAGATCATATAATTGTGGCAACACTTCTAGCAGCAGTAATCACTATCTCCTTTTCTCAAGGTAAGGAAGAATGATGGTGTTCTTTACTGAATGCAGGACCTCCACGGATTCCAGGACATGGAGGATCTCCAGGTCAACCTGGATCTCCAGGAGATCCTGGCTCATTAGGTCCACCTGGATCTCCAGGGATTGCAGGACCTGGAGGATCTCCAGGAGAAAGTGGCCCCCCTGGCCAGTAGTCCAACGGACTCCGTTTGCAGGACCTGGAGGTCCCAGGAGAAGTGGCCCCCCTGGACCTCCAGGGATTGCAGGACTGGAGGAAGTGGCCCCCCTGGCCGAGTAGGTCAAACTGGACCTCCAGGGATTGCAGGACCTGGAGGATCTCCAGGCCCCCCTGGACCTCAAGGATTGCAGGACCTGGAGGAAGTGGCCGCCCTGGCCGAGTAGGTCAAACTGGACCTCGAGGGATTGCAGGACCTGGAGGATCTCCAGGCCCCCCTGGACCTCGAGGGATTGCAGGACCTGGAGGAAGTGGCCCCCCTGGCCGAGTAGGTCAAACTGGACCTCCAGGGATTGCAGGACCTGGAGGATCTCCAGGAGAAAGTGGCCCCCCTGGCCGAGTAGGTCAAACTGGACGTCCAGGGATTACAGGACCTGCCCCCCCTGGCCCAATAGGTCCAAGTGGATATCCAGGGATGGAAGGGGCACCGGGCAAGAAAGGCATGAAGGGAACCAATGTTCAGGAGAGAACGGTGAAAAGCGAGATATACAGTACGCATCAAAAAAACGTCAACGATTTTTGGGTAGAGTAGAGTAGTTTATGTGGTAGTAGCAGCGTAGGGTAGAATGCGTTGGGAGTAAGTAGCGCAGGGTCGAAGAGTAGTAGATAGCGCAGTGCGTTAGAGTAGAGTACGCAGGGTAGCGAATAGTAGAGAGTAGCGCAGGGTAGTCAAGAGTGGTAGCGAGAGTAGAGCAGCGGAGCGTGGCGTAAAAAAACACTGCGCCGGCGGGGAAGAGGAGGACCGTGGCGTAAACCGGTGGGGGCAGAGCAGCAGCGAAGCGCGTACAGTAGACTAACATGCAAGTGCGGCATATGTAGCTACTGAGCAGAGCTTCTACATACACGCCGTCGTAGTGACCACCGCCACTAGCGCTGAGCAGCGCGACAGCCCACAGGAGCAAACGCTGGAGCAGACGTTTAGCTGCTAGTATAGAGAGCGGCGTGTTTTGAGAGCGCGCGATCGCGCGAAAGGACAAGGGCAGTCGCGTCATCACAAAAACGGCGGAATTCAATGCTTCCTCAATTAGCGACGCCAGAATACGCTCGTTTCTAGTGCTCTCTGAAAGTATGGTTTATTCTGAATACATAAAGCAGAGGATAGTTGTTTACTATGAAAAGAGTTGAGTTGTGCAGAGATGTAAAAGCTTTGCCTAGGGACCAAATCATGTTAGCAGTCTGAGGGGAAAGAGGTAGGGTAGCGGGAGGTGACGAGGTAGGGCTGTACGGTAGGGTGAGCGGTTGGTGTTGGGTGTGGTGTAAAGGAGGGCCGTGGAGAGCGGGAGAAGAGGAATTACAGAAGGAGGAATCGAAGGAATCATCAGCAAACTGACGGAAGAGCTGAGTAGGGTAGTTGTTATTTAGGTAGAGTGGGTAGCGGAGTTGAGCGGGTAGAGGTGGTGTGTTTGACGTTTTTTGGACTCATACTGTAGGACCCACCAGTGGCCCACTGACACGAAAGGAGAACCCGGAGAGAGATGAGGGTTCCTGGAGTCACAGGGACATGGGAGACCCTGGACCTCTAGGACCGGAAGGAGATCCGGGAGATGTAGGGCTCCCTGGACCACCAGGACCACCAGGGAATACTGGAGCTCAGGGACCAAAAGGAGAACCTGGAGAGAGAGGGTTTCAAGGACCACGAGGACCACCATGGACCACCGGGAATATTGGAGCTCAGGGAGCGGAAAGGAGAATCGAGATGATG